GATTGTTGAATTAATTTTAGTTGATATACATCTTGATAAACGAATTAACTTCCAAATAAATGTTGTTTTGACAGAAAACATTACATTACGTTTTTATCTGTATGTATTAGATATATATCAAGAACGTATTTTAAATTAAAAAAAACGAATACTGCATTTATGAACTACTTTTAGAACATAGTTGATACTATGAGTTGGATTTTAGACAGTGTTAGATTCCGTGGAATGTTTGTCTTAACGTTAGTCTAGCTAACCTAGGGGAATATGGGATAATTGAATTTAGGCTCAATTGAGCTCGATAGGTTCGGAAACGTTCGGATGCATACATCGTGCTGGTCGGGATAATGCCTCGTTTAGTCGCGCATAGATGGGGTAAGGGGTGAACCTGGTGGTGGGATACCACTTAGTTAACAACTTCGGGGATGTCCTTATTCCGGGGTGTGAGTGGTCGGGGCTTATATTGACTAGAGCATTTACATGGTTTAGATATTCGGCATAATGGTAGGATAATGTATTGAGAGTACCTCGAGGACCAATTTGTCCGTTTTCATAACGTTGGATGAGAAAGTGTCTCCTTTAAACAATCCATCAAACCGAGTGCTCATTTTTTGTATGTTTAACATTTACACATATGACCCGCAAGACGGCAGCAGAGCATATAGTGCAGAGAAAAAGGAGCAGCGCTGAACCGCGTGTGTCGAATCCGTTCAGTTTGTTTTCAAAAGAGCGCCCTCATCATTGAAAGTGAACGACACTAAATGACCTCATTTACGTGTAGTCTACACTACAAGCGTAACACAACACAGACACGCAATGCTGGTAAATATTCAGTACCTTCACGGGACGACTGCTATTTTTTCTTTACGTTGGTCGGGTTTTCTGTCAGAGTCATACCAGGGAAGTACGTGAGGAGTATCCCTGAGTATACTGAGCGACTGGATATCGTCTTGGGATGTCCCAGTGACGTACTAGGTAAACCCGGTGTACACAGAAGGTCAATTTCGTCGTTGCGACGACTGTCGTTATTATACACTTACATCATGTTGCGGTGTTTGTTTGTCCGGCTTTGTGGTCACCATTGCTGCGATCTTTCACCTCTGTTCTGGGTGTAGTCTCACTGGTTTATGGACGAAGCAGACATTTCTAGAACGGGCGTCACAGGCTGATATCATTGTCAACGGTGTAGTGACAAACCTGTATCCAATACCAGAACATCCGACTTCGTTCCCCGACGCGTACGTGGCGGAGTTTGAGATATTGTGTATTTTCAGAGGTATGTACACTTTCATATTTTGGTGAATGTGACACGAATTGATAGTTTTCCTAGATGTCAATATTTAAATGTTGTGCCAGAAATTAGGTTTTATATATACATAACCAATGATACATAGGATGTATTAGTTTCGGAGTTTAATATAATGGTCGTGTTAAAAAAAAAAGTGAAACTACTCTACGAAAAAAAAAAACAACTCAATAAATCACTCAGAGTTAACATATATTGCCACAGGCATGTCAGATGTCAAAATAATTACTGGAATTGTAACCGGGTCACATTAGCGCGAAACCAGGTCACTCGCGTATTACTCTGACAGCGTTTTTCGCTTAAATTGATACTCCCAAGAAACATATTTCAGTGTGTTCCTTTTTTATTGTAATATAAAATGTTACAGCTATGTTACAATGTATGCACTACATTGTATCACACTACCAAGTACGCTGCTAGTTTGCCATTTCACAATACACGTAAAACACAAACCAATCCGCCTGTCCCGTAAGCCATACATCTCCGAAAAGTTCAACGTCGATATTGTGCCTATATCCACACTGTCAACTCAATAAAATAGTAAACGAACTTGTAGTCTTGAATAGATAATAGCACTAAAGGTAACACGTCACGATTTAAAATAAATACTAGGTTTTAAAAAAAAATACAAACGGTCAACCCCCTTATTTGCATTGATCGTTATTGACGCTTTAACACAACAGTGATCGTAAATAGCATCTATAGATAAACGCAGATATATATTTACTGTAATTTCGTATGTGTGACAAAAATGAGTATTACAACATTACCAAAAAAAGCCTTTAAAAGAAAGAAAAAACACTTCATATTACAACACAGCAAACTCAGTTTAAATAAATAAATTATAATGTGCAGTCTGCGCTGTCTTCCAAACACGTAGTTTGCTTTTTGGTAGAAAAATAGCGCCAAAAACAATAAAACGTCAGAATAAACAGCAGTGACTTCAATATACGGAAATGTCACTATATTAGATAAAAAAGAATGATTAACTATTATCATTCATTTGACACGCCTTTTAAATCTACTACCCCCTCTACATTTTCTATTTCTATAGGTGTGTTGTTTCCCAAATATTAGTAATGTGCGGGTCTAGGTAATTCAAGTATTGTCTTCACATGCAACAGGTGGTTTGTCATAATCTTGTATCAAATATGATATCTTCTCGGATGGATGCTTTTTTATTGTTTCTCCGTTAGAAACTAGTTTATTATGACTAGGCTAAGTGGCCCCTTAGTGTATGGCGGATGTCGCGTGTCAAGGTGTGCCCACGTGTTCAGAAATACCAAATATTTTTTTTTTTATATTTTGTGGAGCGATATGGCGATGTGGCCTATGAATTGTTTATCATACATGTTTAGTTATTGCTGATTTCTTTTTAATAGACCCCCGTGTCAAATGTCCCGAACGGGAGCCGTACCAGGTGGGCACATGTGTGGAGGAGTGTTCACGTGACAATAACTGCAGTGATAACATGTTGTGTTGCTCCAATGGATGCGGTCATACGTGTCAACCATTTGAAACAGGTAAGCCAATCAGAGATACGGAGAATAACTGCTGTTTTGTAAAGTAGGGGTGTACTTGAACTCATTATAGTCCACGTGAGTCAGCCATAGAATATATGCCCGGTGGGTATACCTGTTAAAAATGATGTACGTCACTCGTGTTTTGAATTGCAGTGGGTCCTTCCAAATTACCCATATTTTAGTTTGCTTTGTGATTTTCTGTAAATCACGTGACTTGTTTTTCACAAATATTTAACGACAAAGCTGAAAAAATAGAGTTGGTCTTCCGGTCGAAAATTGCGACAGCGCGTGTACATTTCGCAACAAATCCAGTCACAGGTCGGGTCGCCTTTGTGATATAGAAATGCAATTGTCAATTAGCTAAACTGGAACGGATACGAATAAAATTTATAAAATAGTGACGTTGCAGAGATGCTGAATTGTTACGAACATCGAGTTACACAAATGACCACGTCCATTTTTTAGAAACCACGCCCACTTATGAGGAACCACGCCATGTTTAATTAACAGTTAACAGAACTTCGAGTTACGAGCAATATATATATATTTTTTTGTTAAACGTAATTTAATGCTAGAAATACAATTCTTGCTACATTCGTTCGACTTAGAATCCGAGAAAATATTTTTTATTCAGCTCCCTGTTTTATAACGTACCACTTCATATATGGGACTAAGTTCAGATCATGCATATTTATGTGTATGTTCACTAGGCTTGCAACCCGTTATCTTAAGGTAAATACCCAGACATAAATACATGAATACACAGGATTCATTCATTTTTACTCCAAGTGTAAAGATACTAACCTAAATAAGTTGGGGGTCACCAGCCTAATTTTCGAGAACACAGTGATTGTATTTTAGTGATTAGTTGCCATTTTGGCCTTTTCCCTTGTTATGCCATATCTCAAATTGTAACATAAGTAGTAGTTTTAAGTAGTACTGTAGTTTTTGTTGTCCTGAATTATGCAATTTTTTTTCTTGAACAATGCGTTTTTCAAAAAAACATCAACTGTAACACACAAACGAATGTAATTTCATGGTGCAATAACGACTTGATCATACATAATAAACCAATGAACATTGACTAGCTTCTCGTACGCGACTTTTTGTCTTACTGCTGCGGTGAGCCTATTTTTGTTTTTTTAGAGGCTAATCCAAGTGGAACTGTACCTAAATTATAATAGAGTAACATTTGCCCTATACTCAAATATTTCAACATATTTTGGTCAACCTCTTACAAGTGAATACGTAATAAAACAGACTCTTCGATTATGTTATGCAAATGTCTGTCGACCTGTTCCCGTGATCCCTTGCGTGAAACAAGGTGAAAACGTTCCGGACCCGAACATTTGTAATCGAGAATTGAACGTATTAACAACATATACAACACATCGTATATTTTGGGAGAACAACAGAACCTATTCCTATCACAATATACGTTTGCATGACAGAAGGCAAAAATGACAAACTTTTGGAGACATTTGAGTTTCTTGCACTCCGAGGACTGCCGTCTGTCCGCCATCTTTAATCACTACAGTCACGATCCAGGGCGTGATTGTTAGAATTAGCCAATCACGCTCGTGAATGGACGAAACAAACGCGTATCAGGTCTGCGCCACAGAAAGGTTGATTCTCTAGAAATTGTGGCGTAAAAAGAAAAGGTATATGGAGATTTTAAATATATTTGTTTTATATATACAGATACAGATTTGGGAAAGTATGTAAATGTGACATATATGGGGATGTTGCATTCTTGTTCGGCGACCACAGTGGACATACATTATGAATACATTATGTTATTAACAATGAACGATGCTGGGGAGTTAGAACCAGATGAAATCAACTTACAGACAGCTGCATTCGTTGCTGACGAGGAACACTGGCGTGACTTAGGAGTGCTTTGTAACATTGCTACAACGCCCCCAATTGGAGAGCGAACCTGCGACGAGAAAGTAGAATCCCGGCAGATCCAAGTCGTGGATGGATGTTACATGTATTCAGGCAGTGTGTCGACTTATGTTGGTCGTATTATTGTCGCTTCCCTGTTATTGTTCGTCATACAAAGCAGCATGGTTTTTTTTTAACTAAACATTGCTTGAATATTGCATATTGTAAATAGTATTTTAATGTGTACATATCTTGTAAATACTTTTACTCAGAGAGTAGCGCAACGGCGTGCGCAGGTTAGTTGGTGTCTAGGGTGTTCTTCTCACCGACTGGATGGAAACTGATCTGCTTCGTTCGGCGCATTTCCTGATTGTTCGCCATGGGATTGAGATATTCACACCTACTGTCACTCAGTTCTTCAGTCAAGGCACTTAGTAGTAAGTTGAATGACAACATTATGTGATTAAGTCAGTGTCTCGATTATTTGACTGAACACAGTGCATGTCTATGACATTCCATAGTGAATTTATGCAATGCATTATACACATATGTTCATTAATATGGTTTGATTTGTTTGTTTGTACATTCACTGCTCCACTGTAAGATATAAATAGCCATCTTAACATATTATAACACAGAGCAACATATCTAGATTTTATTCAATATTTTGTGGATCAAATTTAGTCTATATTAACTATATTTTTTATTATCTGGATTTTAATTATTCATCTATAGCAGTTAAGAATTAATATAATGTACACTATGGTTAATGGGTTAATTTTAACTTTGTGTCCCGTGACGAACTGAATATCACAGTCTGTTTAACTGACGTAGCTTATATGCTGTACGTGTTTTTTTTGGTGGGGGCTTTGATATTTTGTATAATTTTAAAGTGCACTTAAAACAGAATTTTAACAACCAAGATGACAATTTGTACATTTTATATTTTTTCCATAAAGCTGGATATTCGTAAAATTGTAATGTATGATTTGGTTTGAATAAACGGTATGTAAATCTGAAATGGTTGACAGTGATTCTGATAATTATTTGGTCATTCAGTTGGCAAGATTTACTTGCAACTTTTCAAAACACGTTTCTTGTTGTTCAATCTAGCTATGACGGTGCCGTTCAAATTAGTCACGTGCTAGACGAGGGTAAATCGCAGTTTTTCTAAATAATACGCGTTTGTTAGAATACATGAACAGGTTAATTTGATTTGTTATAATATTTCTTGAATCACATACAATGTAGATATTCAAGAAATGAAGGATTGTTATTGAATACGTTGATCAAACTGTCAACATGAAATAGTGAATATCACACAGCACGCCATCAGTCAAATGGTGCCATCAAGGCGAGAATAAAGCAAACGCCGTAGTTTACATGCCATCTTGCTGACTGATTGTGCGAATAATTCTCACTCCGTACCGGTGTGAATCTATTTTGTGTTGATACTTTTGTCGACACGGTTCACGGTATCTGCCATTGCATATTTCAGATTTTTCTCTCCGTTGGGCTTATTATTTACATATTTATTCAGCTCTTGTGAAATTTTGTTTTATTGTTGGGTGTTGTTTTTGGTGAAATAAATTTATTCATTCATGTTTATGTACTTTTAAACTGTGCCATGGAATTCTTCAAGTCATTATTCTGATAATGGCCACCTAGTATAGCCAACCAGTGTCATGACAGATTTAACGTATTGAATATGCCATAATAATCACCGCTAACATTCCGAATCCGTGGCGTTTTTCGGCCAACTGAATAACCAATATAAAATACGATTAAAATAAGCGAATTATCGCACTTGGTTTTTCACTCAGCGTAATTCATTTTGCTAATGAAAACTTTAAAAATTATGTTTTCCCCTCCGACGATAGCGTTTCTCGGCCACATCAATAATCAATTATATATTACTATACATATACTTAATATTAGAGTAATTACCTACTAGTATTTTCAACTCCAATCCACAGAATTCTGTATGGGTTAATATATTACCGTATACTTGAATTTATCCGGCTTGTTGAAAACTTTAAAACATATCTTTTCCTCGCCCTCGATAGCGCCACCAAGCGAACTGAATATATATAATATATTCTATACCACAGTCTGTATCTATACTAATTATTTTAATGCAACAGTTTGCCAAATCGAATATATTTCTTTCTACAATGTCTTTGTTAGTTTTGGACCAAATAGATTTAAATTCTTTATTATTTTTGATCCAACGTTAAATAAGCAATTATACATAAATCGATGTCACCATTTTTTCTTCATTATTTGCCAAATTATAGTTATTTAATTTGCATATTATTAAAGCATTAATTTTCTAAAAGTTCTGACTGTTTCAGTTCAGAGGTTTAAAAGCGTTGCAATTTATATTTGCTGTTGTAATTAGTTTTCCATTTTAATTAAAATTATCAAACCGTGTTTTTATTTGAGATTTATTCAGGGACCGATGACAGCATTGCTTATAATATTTCTGAATGAGGAAGTACCATTTTAACCTATCGTTGCCGCATATAGGCATGAATGCGTTTGATATAATTGTAGATGTTTTTATAAATTTTTAATGACGGCTGAAAACAACTTAGCCAATCACAGTGCAGTAGTAAATGCGTACCACTCGTTTAAATGTTCTTTCCTGTGCCTGGCAGTGAATCTGCCAATAATTGAAGAAAATCTGCAAAGACTCGTAGGGAAACTTGGGCGTTACCGAATGGCTTCCGTATTCTATGCATGGGTTTCGAGAAAAAAATGTTGAATACGTAGGTACAAAAATTCCACAAACCACCAATGCCTATATGAAGTGTAGTTTTGTTATTACAATTTATTCAAATCTAAAATTAGCCTGTATTCAAAAACCATCAAAGTAATGCTGGCAGTAGTTTTGTTTTTAATAGAGCGCCATCAACGACAGTGAAAAGAAACTATAAGACCTTGACGACATTCATTACAGGCAAACAAACAAATGTACTTGTATGTGACAGCTTCTTTCTCATTTATGTTCACACGTCCTGTCTCATAGTTGTACTAACCGACCGGACAGCCTCTTGCTACGTACACGGCAGCTTGAGTTGCTGACTGTCGAGGCAACACACACATGTAAGACAATGTTCCGTCATTTGCTTGTCGGTTTCGTGGTCACCATTGTTGTGTTCATTCACCCCTGTTCTGGGTGTACTCCCCTCGATTCGTGGAGGGAACAGACATTTCTGGAGAGGGCGTCACAAGCCGATATCATTGTCAATGGTGTAGTAACAAATCTGTACCCAATACCAGAACATCCGACTTCGTTCCCAGAACAGTACCTAGCAGAATTTGAGATCGGTTGCATTGTCAGAGGTATGTATTTAGGTATTATTAGTTTTATTTATTT